GAAAATAAGCCCTCGTGATGGCAGAATATAGTCCGCAACATAAAGCTAAAAGTTCGCCATAATGACACTAATACTTTATTCAACTCTTGAATATTTTCGAAACGTTAGAAAACTGGGCTAAGTTAGGCACGTGCTCAACCATGCATGTTAGAGCCCCAGTGACTTTATAAGTACCTACTTACTTGGTTACTTAATGTAGCTTCTGAGTTCTAAAATGTTTCACTTTTCGTTCGTTCGTTTCAGCCAAATGACGTCCACTGCTGGACAAAGGCCTCCCCCAAGGTTTTCCACAATGGAATTCACTTTTACGACATTTATATTCTAGCGCTTAAATTACGAGCTAAACTGTAGAAATAGTTTTTGAAATAATTAAGTAGCAAGTGTTCTTTGTAGACAGACGTAGAAAATTTACGGAGGTAGAATAATGCCTTTACATTGTAATATGACTACAGCTACAACTTTATAATTGTTTTATTAGGTACAACAGACTATTTCACTCATTCACCCCCTACAAACTCTACTAACTATCTACCTTGTTGACTCAGTTAAGTGAGTCTTACAGTGACTTGGCCCACTTTTGGATTGGCCAAGTCACTGGTTTGAATTTTTAAATAGTTTTTCTTCCAGTGACTGGGTCCACCTTAAGATTTTGTTGATTTGGTGTTTAATCTATACTTACCTATAATAAATCTGAGAGAGGTCAATTCTGTATTTGAAATATATTTTCAAAATAATTATCAGGATGATTAGTGATCGATACTGATGCCAAAAATGCAATCAGTAAAATCTGTCTGTCTGTATGTTCCTTGTAGAAACAAAACTACTCGACGGATTTTAACGAAAGTTGGTACATTATTCTTCATACTCCTGGGCAGGTTATAGTGTACTTAGGAATTCCCACGGGAACGGGAATTTGGGGGAAAATCCTTTTGTATGAAAAATCTAAACAGCTTAAGTTAGACGCTTGAAATTTGGCATGCATGCACCTTAGTAAACTTAAAGCTTAGTAACAACAGGATATGCAAAATTCCCACGGGAAGGGGAGTTCGCGGGAAAAAACATTTGTATGAAAAAATCTAAACCGCGTAAGATAAATGAAGGGGTTAAAACGGGATCCATGCGTAGGTACGAAGTTGCGGGCGGCCGCTAGTTTAACACTAAAACACTGGAAGAAAATCTATTTAAAAAATTCAAACCAGCGACTTGGCCCGTGGACCAAGCTAAACGTGGGCCAAGTCACTGGAAGACTCACTTAACTGAGTCAAAACAATAGCAAGCCTATTGCCTCTGCTATCCAGTAGGTACTTAATGTGTTGGCCCTTCGCCAAATCTTTCCACAAATCATTGCACCGACTCCAAGCTTTGAGAAATGGGCGAGGCGTTTAGTCTTAGCGGTCCGGTTTCATTCATCGTACTATATTTTACTGAGATTTTCAGAGATATCTGAGCTTCAACTGGTTTTGCTATTTATGGGCATAAGACAGCCTTTGCAGCCCAAATATTTTAATTAAAATTTGGGGATACCGGTTTCCATTTTAAGTGACTAGTTAGATCTGACTTAGTAAGTAGGTATAGCCCCGCATGATACCAAAAGCTTACCTATATTTATATGACAGAAAGGTTTTGGGTTTCAAAGATCTCTAGAGCCATCCTATTTTATAGGTTTTGTTAGTTGCATTATTGTAGCGCTTGAAAATCTTAATTAATTTGTTATTGTTTTAATTCTTAACAATAATTAAAAGTGAAATTGCTTATTGACTCAGGAAAGTTGACTCATTACCAAATATTTCTGGAACAAAGTTGAAATAATTGTAGTTACTACCCATTGAATATTATTTAATTTGTATCGCGCCGCCTTATCCTGAATTTCGAGATGTTGAAGGAACAAACAAAATAACTTTAAACAATGTTGCTCTTTCATAAGCTTGTTCTTCATTTTGCTTAGCTTTTACATTTTATGTTTGCAACTTAATAATGAAAAAATTGTGTAGCTTATCGATCTTAAGAAATGGAACAAAGGTTACCCAGGAGCAAAAAATACAAAACTGTAAAAGTAATACAAATTGTAAAAGTAAAAACATGTACCAACCCTGACAATTACGTAGGCCGTCGCAGACGAAATTTAACTCGTAAAATATGATGGGACTCTTGAAAGGCTCAATATTGGATTCATACGATAAAATTATCCCCAAACTTTTTCTATAAGGCATCAGCAGCCTCGCAGAGGTTTGGCTGGCTTACTTATTTGTTGTTTGTTTGAAAATGGGAAGCCGGCGGTTCTCCTAACTCGGAGTACAGTTTTGTAATTACCCTTTGAAGGATAACGTAACTTGCTTGTAATTCTGAGAATATCAAACAAAAGGCATTATCCATGTAAAATTTACGAAGTTGATTATCCAGAGGTGTTGTGTTGTTTAATGATTGGGTAAGGTATACAGTTAATTTTTCTGATTCACAAAGCATGCAAAAACTAGGAATAGGCCTTTGAGTTGGGGCCGAATTTCAAGAGCGAAAATATTATCAATGGTTACATGGTCTTATTTTATTCTAACATATTACCTTATCAGTTACTTAGATCCCTTGACATTAACATCTGAGTGCGACGACAGAGTTTTGCTCGAGGACTTTATATTACTATTCTAGTGCTCGTTTGCTCATGATTTCTAAGTAGTTGGTTTTATTGAAGGGCACTGGTAGTAATATCAGTTGCTTATTGGTCCCTAGATGGTTCTCTTTGAGGCCTGTCGACAGGGACTCGGCTCGAATGATATGAGAGAACTATTTTAGCAGCTGGATCTATGACAGAGTTAAGCCTACTTAGGGATCGCACAGTTCCCTCTAGGGAGAGGTTCAAAAAAGGTAAGGTAATCTCGATTAGCAAGTCACGCAGGGCATAGGTACCTAATCTGTGCGCAGGGGTATGACCAAGAGATGAGAATACTTAGTCAAAAGTTCTTATGTGGTCTCCATTACGATAAATACTTATGGAAGCAAATCGTCATCATTATTTTGGTGAAGAAAGTGGTCAAATAAATGATAACGTTAAACAAATTAGAAAAATTAATTAACAAAAAAATTAAAACCGAGTAGAAAATAATTTCATTATTTATTTATTAGGACAATTGTATACTTCTTTATGATTGATACTCACGGAGTCGGTGCCAGCCTGCTCAGTGCCAAGCTCAAGAAATGTTCTAAATTAACCGGCACCGACTCCAAGAGAATACTGGTCTCAGCCGCACATTAAATAATGATCTCAATGTTAAAGGATAGAGCAGTAAACGTAAGTTATGGGGTGTTGATAGTACTTGATAGCGCTATAAAATTTCCCTATGTTATGGAGTAGGTATCTATACCTAAACCTCAACGATGATGCCCCTTTACGTTACCGTAAGTATGTAGTACAATATGAAAATTGAACCCTCTCAGTCGAAAGATTTCAGCTATACAATACGACCGAGGCGTTTCGACATTTCCTACGACATTTATGTATTGTTATGAACTGGAGAATTCAATATATTTGCTTTGACTACGCTATTGTGGTTTGTTCCCAAAGTCAAACATTTGCAATGTGAGTAAATAATGTCTGGTTATTAATATAGATCGTCTCAATCGATTTGATAGATGTTGGTTCTATCATATGTTATCGTCCACTTCTGGCACTGCTACGTCACAACCGGGGAATGCTGCTTCCTGCCGACTATGAACCGGAAACAATAGCGCCATAGTAGCAAACTAANTTTTTTTTGAGATTTTTTAAAAAAAAATTATGGATTTTTTTTTCTTCCAATTACTTATTGTAAAGAAAACTTAATAACTTTTAAACTAAGCGGTATATCCTGATAAAATAAAAACAGTAATAATGCTAAGTAACAGGCGATACTGAAAAAATACATAAAATACCCAGAAAATGCCAACAAATAATAAAAAATGATACTTTTTGAAAAAAATCTGCTTAAAAATTCGTATTATTTTGGTTATTTGATAAATTTCTCCAAAAAATGCCCCTATAACAGGTGGTTTTTATTACTTTGTATTATTCTCTATCGTATTATCTTTGTAAAACCAAAAATCGCATGTCTCTATACCTATCACAACATTTGCTATGATCGTTTGAACAAAGGCCTGCCACAACATTATTATCCGCTACAGGTAGAGACAATTTTAATTTTAACTAAAATGCTTATTTTACTTCGAAATCTTTTGTTTTTATTTGAAATGTAACTTGTCTGTATCAAAATTACAAATATAGAGCCATTTTCAGTTTCGTTGTTAACGAAGCGTTGAATGGCGCGCCCGGAGAGGCTTAGTTCAAACGATCATTGCAAGCGTTGTGATAGGGATAGAGACATGCGATTTTTGGTTTTACGAAAGTAATATGATAGGGAATAATACAAAGTAATAAAAACCACCGGTTATAGGGGCATTTTTTGGAGAAATTTATCAAATAACCAAAAAAACACGAATTAAAAGCATATTTTTTTCTAAAAGTATCATTTTCTATTATTTGTTGGCCTTTTTTGTGTATTTTATGTATTTTTTTAGTATCGCCTGTTATTTAGCATTATTACTGTTTTTATTTTATCAGGATATACCGCTTAGTTAATATGTTATTACGTTTTCTTTACAATGAGTAATTGGAAGAAAAAAAATTCTATAAAAAATTAAAAAAAAATCTCAAAAAATTTTTGACCTCTTTTTTGTCGATAAAAATAGGTCTAGTTTCATTTATTTTCATATGTACACTTTAACGTGACTCACACTGTAGTTTGTGAAACTTTAAAGTACCTGTTTTTTTTTTAACATACAAACCGTCTTCAATATCTTGTTTTAGATTCATCCGTATTCTGTTTATAGCAGCGTGTAATGAAAATATTTTTTTGAGTAAAACAGACATCTTTATAAGTAGAACCTTTGAGTTAACTGCGCATCTAGCGGCCGTGACGTCACAAGTCATATGCATTTCAGCAAAGTGCGCAGTTAGCTCGATCGGGTTGTTATTTTCGTTATGATTATTATAATAATATGATAGTAATAATAATATTTCTTACCTGAGAAGGACGCTCTGTGATCTCACTCAGGCCATCTCCTTCGCGCAGCAGCTGTAAAAAGGTGAAATAATTAAAATCGTTAGTCATCAGGTAAATTCATGAGAACCAAGCAGCCTATTCGAGCTACGGTAACTGGGTAAAAGTTAAGTTACTAAAAAAACTTTTGAGTCGATGGTGGCGTTCCCCGAGCCGAAAAACTCCGCTCCGTTAAAATTGTAGGTACAATGTTTGTTTATTCGTAAGTTTCGAAGGTGCAAGGTGACTTCATTCCACACGACGTAATACAGTACTTATTAATAATTCTGTGGTAATACACAGAACATAGATAAATACGTCAAGCGAGTCAGCTTATTTTTTATCAAAAACTAGCTGACCCGGCGAACTTCGTACCGCCTTAGCGTAGAGATTTTCTTTATATTTTTTTCCGTAAAAACCTTGTACAGAGTATTAGAAAACTACAAAAAAAAATCAGCCAAATCGGTCAAGCCGTTTTCATGTTATGTCGTGACAACGGAAAACGGGTTTCATTTTTATATAATACTAGCTGACCCGGCGAACTTCGTACCGCCTTAGCGTAGAGATTTTCTTTATATTTTTTTCCGTAAAAACCTTGTACAGAGTATTAGAAAACTACAAAAAAAAATCAGCCAAATCGGTCAAGCCGTTTTCATGTTAGCTATGTCGTGACAACGGAAAACGGGTTTCATTTTTATATATAGATAGAAGATATTATAAACTTTGAGAATTGGCGGGAAGAAAAGGCGCCAAAGTTTAACTGTCAAAGTCATATTGTGATGCGTTCATGAATCCAAAATTTTGTCACGTCACGTCAACGTCCACACTAACACATGTAAAATAAAAGTTTAAAATAATAGGTCTGATGTGTGATTTTTTACCTTGTCCACTTCAGGTTCAATCTGCTCGTTGGTGCCGCCCTTGTTGAGGGCACCCTTCTCCATTAAAGTGGCGCGTTTGGCTGCCAAGTACATGGATCTGTGGAGAAAATTAACAAAACTGTAGTAAAAACTCATAAGAAAACGCTGATACTTACGCAAGTTTGTGTAGGTACCTACTTGGTAACTTGAAACCAATCTGTGATGGCTATATCGTTTCATCCGGTGCGGGGATTTTGATCCGAGCAATCCGAGCGTCAATATTGTAGTGTGCGTGTGCACTCATGGATTATTTAGCGTGTACCGATAACATTCTAATGATCTCAGATTCAAACATTAGAGGAAGAATGGTGGCACCACCACCCCACCACCACGTCTTCATTGATGAAACGATCTATACACTCGGTGGTGGTCCGTAAATGAACTAAAGTCGCTGACATAGCTCGACGGATTAGCAAGCTGAAGTGGCAATGGGCAGGGCACATAGTAAGCAAAACTGACGGCCGATGGGGCAGCAAGGTTCTGGAGTGGATGCCACATACCGGAAAACGCAACGTGGGACCTCCACTCGCAACTTTTTGGAGTGGAGGCTACCGTTCACATTCACAAGGTGGTAAACACAAAGGTAGCAGAACGGCGCTGGATGCAGGCCGCTACCAACCGCGCGATATGGAAATCATTGAGAGAGGCCTATGTTCAGCAGTGGACGTCTGTAGCTGAAATGATGATGATGAAAACGCGAGTTTTATTAGTATTACATACCTCTTAATCGTAAGGTAGTAAAGCTCAGCGATAGCTCGCACGGAGTAGTCGGGAACGAAGGTGTGACGCAGCATGGAGTCCATGTTCAGGTTCTGCAGAGAGCCAAGAGACGAAGGCGCTGGCGCTTCAGCTGTAGACCAAAAATAATACAAACATTTAGGAAAGATACTCCTTTAGTCCTTAGTCATGAAAGTCATCTACTTTTCGCAAGAAGGTTTTAAAAAGCGCTTTCACACAAGTAAGAAGACCTGGGTTTTTAAAGACAGGACATGCAAACAAAATAAAGGACAAAGATAAGAAATAATATAAGATTTATCAAGAAAATAAACAAAAATGCAAAAAGTAAATTACAATAAAAAAAAAAAGAACAAAAATAATGGAACAAAGAAAAAGAATCTGAGAAATTAAAATAAACAGGGCAAGCTAAATAAAACTTTAAAAACCTACAAAAAGGACAGCAAAACAAAAAAAAGGAAAATAAAGTAAAAAAATAAACAATAATCCACTCACCGACGCCGATGTTCTGCGTGAGCGCTTGCACGCCGAAGTACGTGAACGGACCGGACTCGAACACGAGGTTCTCGCGGCCCACCGTCACCTCCACTCGTCCCTCCAGGATCAGGACGAAGTAGTCCACCTGGAGAATAAAAATAATAAATTCAGAGACTGTCATAACGAATTGTTGGCTGCAGTGGCGTATATGGTGGCAGGACTGGTATGGCAAAATTTCGTTCGGCTACTTCTTACCGAACGGGTTAGATAATGAGTGGTATTTGTTATAATAAATAATTAATTACTAACATCGTTGTATAAATAAATAAATAAAAAACGTTTATTTGGTACACCACAATACAAATTACAAATTAAAACTTAAAATTAAAATAAAATTGTACCAAACAGGTAAATAAGGCACCCATTTACTAACCATGTGGATCATTATTATCTTTATAAATAAATGTTATTGAATTGAATTGAAATGAAAATGGGCTGAGCCCCCGACGGGCCTCAGATGGTATAGTATTAGTTACGCTACTGGTTAGCGGTAAAGTGTAGCGTCATGTATGTAGTAGTTTTGTTTTATTTTATAAAATGCCAAGTGTAATTTTAAACAAAGCTTGGGTCGAGATTGAGAACACTCGAGAAGTTAAGTAAATAATTGACAACGAATATTAGCAAACATTTGGATACGGCGTGTTTTATTTTTCTTTAATCAGAAAACCACAGCTTTTTATAATAAATCAATATTTATTGATCGGCAATTCAGTTAATTTCAGTCCTAACCAGTCGTACAGTCACATGTAGAAAAATAGACAAAAAAACACAATTTTTATTCGTGAAGTGCTCCACCGTGACTAAAAATCCTGAAATTATGCACAATTTCCCGTCACCCACGCGTCCCTCGAATCGTTTTCAAGAAATCCAGCGTTCTATTTGCTGAAATTTTTCGTCCAAACCTGTATGAGAAAACCTTTCTACAGTCTCATAAAATCATGTCAATGAGGGTTTTCGCGATTGAAAAATCCGCCAGATGGCAATACGTAGACGAGGTCCAAATGCTGCATGATTGGTGGATTTTGACATAATTATCTGTCAATGTCATGTCAAAAATAACCAATCATGCAGCATTTGGACCTCGTGTCTACGTATTGCCATCTGGCGGATTTTTCAATCGCGAAAACCCTCATTGATTGTATTTTGTCTCCTTACCGGTTTTCCCTCCTGGAAGACGTATCTCTTGGGGTCGTTCCTGTCTTCGTCGCCGCGCAGCTTGATGTGTTGTATCACGTCCTGCTTCAGTAGACGGCGGAGTACCGTCTCTGAGATCAGCTCGGGACGGAACGGGTCCACGCCTGGAAGAAGGATTTAGGGGCTTATGCTGAGAGAATTTAGGTTTAATTTTGTAACTGTCCCTGTTTGTTAGGAAGTCGTTGGTCTAGCGGTCATTAAACGTTGTTAGGTCTTGATAGAGGGATCCTTCAAGGCACTATTCTAAAACTAGTGCTATTCCTACTTGTATGTGTTGTACTTTTTGAGTAGGTACTTGATGGTCAATTGTTAAGACTTGTCAGATATTGAGGTGGCCCTCAAAGGCTATAAAGTCTTGCAAATAGAGACTTCCTCGGGGCACCATATTTGGTCCCTTACAAGTGGGAGATCCAAGGCACCAACATTTTAGGATCTTGACAGTTTCCACTAAACTATTTATAAATGTGAAGTCTCCCAAGGTTCTATTTTGAGACCATTACAAAATGGGGGGTCTTTCAGGGTACTTTCTTAGGACCATTGCAAAATGGAAAGTGCTCTAAGGCACCGTTTTGGGAGCATTGTAAAATGTGGAGTCTCTCAAGGTACTATTTTGGGGGCATTGTAAAATAGGGGGTCCTTCAGGGTAAAATATTAGGACCATTATAAATTGAGAGTTATATTTTGGACCCTTGAAACTGAGAATTGCCTCAAGGTACTATTTTGGGACCATTGCAAATGGACGGTCCCTCAAGGAACTATCTTGGGGTCATTGCAATATGGGGAGTCCTTCAGGGAATCATATTTAGACCCTTGCAACTGAGGAGTGCCTCAAGGCACCATTATAAGACCATTACTATTCCTACTTATATTAATGTAATGTACTCACTGGTGTTGAGGAACTGGAAGGTTGCCAGCACCAGCTGCGGGGAGACGTGCACCTTCTGATGATGCTGGTGGCCGGCGAAGGCGGCTAAGTCCTGCACCTTGTTGGCGGGGCGCGTCAGACGCTTCTTAGTCCTGTTGTCGCCTGTGGAGCAATGTTGAGAGTGAGTTGGTTGTTTTGTTGCTAACATGTATTTTTACCCTATAACTGGTATTTATATTTTTCCTTATTTTATCCCATTAAACTTTAAAATATGGTGGCATCAATTCTGCCTCCACTAGTTAGAGGCTTCAAGAGTTTGTTGATTTTTACGCCTCTTTTAGCTACAGAATGTCCGCTGCTGAACATAGGTATCTTCAAAGATTTCCAAATTCCACGTTGTTGAATAGTTTAAATTGGATTTAAAGAACATAAATAGAAATAGGGATAGTTTAGTAATTTCAATGACACACTTATAACTTTTTGACAGAGTAGAAATTGGACTACTACTCGGACCGATATGCGAACATATTTAAAGACCCGGTGTCCACCAAGGAAGCCGATTATTGGAGAAGGAAATCTGATTGGTTATTCAAAACTCCGCTCCAATCCGCCTTGGTGAAAAACCGGAACGGAAAGTTTGATACGACGTCTGTATCTAGTCTCGTGTGTACTCACTGATGACGTCGGACTCGTCCACGATCTCGGCCTGGATCATCTCCTCGATGACGTCCTCCAGGGTGACTAGCCCCACGGTCTCGTAGAGCGGGTCCCCGTCGCCCTCCTCGATGCGCTGTACGAATGCCATGTGGCCCTTGTGGCCTGGGGAGAAAAACATGAAAATTTAACTTCATAAGTATTCATATTTTCATATTCATATTCATTTATTCACTTCGCAATGTTACAAAAGTACCAACAATAAAGGGTAGTAGGTACAAGATGTTCAGAGCGTTACATTGCTACCTCCTAGAGGTAGGTATGTGATTTGTAAACAATAAAATTAGGCATTAGGCATTTAAATTGGTTAAAAAACTTAACGCCCATATTCACAAGCGATGCTTGCTTAAGTGAAGCAGCAAATCGAACACACAAAAAACTCATTAAAACTCATTTATTTCTGTAAATAGGCTTAAAAAAAGCACTTTTACACGTCCCAGTATTAACCCTACCACTGCTTCAGGACAATAAATGGGCCAGTGCTGAGAAGAAGCAGCGCAAGAAACTCAGTAACTATTGTCAGCCTCATTTTCAAAGGTTTTCAGACTTTAAAAATACATAGTTATAAATATTTATGCGAGCTAGACAGTTACGCATCCCAAACATTTTTATCTTTTAAATAATCATCGACTTTATAGTAGCCCTTTTTCATGAAGGTACTTACATATTACATTACTTACTATTATTTACATACTTACGTTTCATTAAGGTAGAAATTGGTTAAAAAACTAACGCCCGTATTCACAAACGATGCTTGCTTAAGTGAAGCAGCAAATCGAACGCACAACGTTGAAGAGCTCTGTGATTGGCTCGTGTATCGTCCTGTGGTTCCACGCGCACTGTGAGACCTCATAGTAATGTTTGTGAATACGGGTGTTACAGTCATTGAAATCGGTAAAAGGGCCCTTTGGGTCCTTTTCCACCAGTTTTTCTAGGATCAGTGATGCTGGATTCCGCAAAACTGGACTGTCATGTGATAAAGTATGAACACATAGTTAATTGCAAATTCGAACTGATCGGTTTTTTGCGGAACACTGCAAACGGGATGTTCGTGTGAACATTTAATTTAATATTACCATAGATTAATCCTGCAAAAAGCTGTTCTTGAAAAAACGGTATGTCTCCGTGGGAACAAGCTCTAACGTGGTGTTGAAAACGAAGGCTTTACTCTATTCACACAGATTCATAAATTTTTAGTAGGTAAGTAAGTATCCTACGACTACAAAGAACGCTAATCACAACTTTATTTAGATGTTGACGAAGACTACACTCTGCTTCAGATGAAGCCTTGACCTTGATTGGTCGAGAACATACTAATTTGAATTCAAGCATGAATCGTATCGTGATTTCATTGTTTTCAGAAATGATGAATGGAGTTTTTGCATTTCAAGAAGGCTAATAATATAAAGTTTGTTTTACGATTCTAGTTAAACGTGTTACTTCTGAAGTTACGCACTGATATGCCGATTGCTAGTCTACAACGTAAGATGGCACATAGAGAAAATCATTGTCAAATTATTCCCTTTTAATAGTTGCGATATTACTAAAATAATTTATGTGTTGGCGTCTGTCTGTACACTTTCGATTTCACCGAAATCAAATCTACAACTAGGTAACCTAATGTAACATCGACTACAGCACAAAATGGCATTTTCAGGACGTTTACATTTGAAATTGAAGAAACTTTCTTTCTATTGAATAAAGGGACCATTCCCACCTCTCGTTCCAACCGCTGCAACTCCTGTGTAGCCAGGATCTACAGCTTTTTAATTAAAAGCAAATACAGCGGAATTTTAGCATATTATTCATAATTTATAGCATCATCCACCGCGAAACGCTATCAAAAATTGGCACTAATCTGCAATAAAAATCCAGCCAGATATAATCCAACTGACGGTGTGTACGTCACTTGAACTGTTGCCAGAACGGCCAGACGGTGTGTAGGGTTTCCAAGTTTTTGTGCAAAAAAAGTTGTACGAAAAATAAAGTCAAGGAACAGTAGCCATGTATCCGATCTTCCCGTAGATATCGTAAGAGAAGAAATATGCGAACATCGAGCTTCTCCAAGCCATCTGACCAGCATGGGAAGTGTAGGCCAAGTCATTTGTTTCCCTCTTAGTAGGGTTTCTGATTTCTCGACTTATTTTTTTTCTCGAGTTTCGAGAATTCTCGAGGCCAAAGTCTCGAGTTTTCTCGGGTCTCGAGTCTTTTAATGAAAACTGCTGAAATCGGTTGAAATTTAATAAAAACACAGGTTTTTTAATCTAATATTACCTACTTTTATGAACAACAATCAATATTAGAATTTAGTAACACTTATTTTGGTAAGGAAAGAAACAAAAAATAAAATCTTCTTTTATAATTAATATTTACTAATAATCATAACAAAAGTCATAAAGTCGCATGTTGTTTAAGGATAAATAACAATAAAAATCTGGAACTACAATTTTTTTCTCGTCTCGAATGAAGCCAAATTTCTCGAGTTTTCTCGAGTTCGAGAAAGCTCGAGCAGAAACCCTATCTCTTAGTTAATGATAATGAGAAATACCTACATCACAATATAGACTGAAAAGTTCGCCTCTACGTTATTCTCAGTTTGGCCCTAAGGTTGACTGGAGGAGAATGCCGACTGGCATTAAGTACGCCTTATGTATAGTGTAAAATGTACATGTAAGTTCTAAATAAATAAATAAATAAACGTCTGCTACTGTAAGTTTAGTTTTGTAAAGTACTCAGATCAAAAAGAGTTGAGACTTATATCGACAACTCCATGTTTTTACGTTTTGCGTGGGAACAACTTACCTACTTATAAAAAAAATGTTTTTATATTGAAAAAGAAAGATTTTAGTTTTCCTTTAAAGAATAGTTTCAGGAAAAAAAGGGAAAGTAAAATACTGTTTTAAACAGTACACTTGGAAACCCTAGCCGTGTGTGTCTAATTTTTGCATGATTCACGGCCGCCCAGACTAATTTACGAGGGCTTGCACGTGCTTCGAGCGTTTGAAGATTTTTAGAGATACGCGCAAACATGTTTGACAGAGCGCCATTTAGCGCCAACCAAAGATTTCTAGAGTCGGAACTATTCCCACCTCTCGTTCCCACCACTGCAACTCAATACTCAATACTCAATATGTTTATTGCTTTATAAACTCCTGTGTATCTAGCCAGGATCTACAGCTTGACCGCCAATAACCCAACCAGTGAAGGCCAAGTTTGTCCCGGGGGAAAGTTAAACTGTTATTGGACCCGAAACGAATTTAATCAGAAGAACATTAGGAGGATCACTTTTAATAGTTTTCGAGTTGTTTTTATTTTACAACAGGTACAGGATTTTAGCTAGTTTACATTCGTGTTATGGATTTACAAATACTTCTGAATCAGCTAGGCCTAGTCAATTTTGCGCAATTTTACGACGATTTATTATTTAGCCACGATAGCCGAACGATGAAGGGGTCGGACCGGCCGACTCGTGATCCGAGGAACGCGGGTCGAATCCCGCCGCTACTTAACTATTGTGGTGAGCCCACTCGTGACACAAGCATATTTAGCTTAGTACGAGGGGCTACAATACAATTACTAATAATCTTTTTTTTTAATCTTCATTCCAACCACCACACTGTCAATAGTAATTAATTACCTACCTACATTGCTTCAATTTAATGTCATCACTACTGTAGTTTTATTGTCGAAATCAATTTAGATCAAGCCCAGATTAAACACGTCAAATTCCAGGCATCCAAAATTATTTTTGTGGAATAAATCTGAAGATCTGGAACAGTACGATTCATATCTCCATCTTTATAATTACGCTGACCCATTTTTCGTGTAAAATATGCTTTTCTTTAGTTAAAAATACTTGAAACAAGGCCAGAGTTCGGCCTTGTTGGTTACTGATACTGATGTTCTTTGGACTGTAGGCAAATAATAAACTGCATGTATGCTTATGCTTGTTTTTTAGTAAAACCACATTTTAGTCACTTCCAATTTTCAGTGACTGATTAATCACGTTCTTTCATAGTCGTGAAGATAGATAGTCTATCTGTTTCATTACATCATTCACTCTTAAATCATAGAACAGATTTAGATGATTTGGAAATATAGTTAAGGTTCGAGACCCATGGAAACTGTATTGCTGTATGAATGAATTCTAAATAAATAAATAAACTATCGGATAGAAGGGAGACATGCACGTGGTTAAAACTTTCTGTAACACTGAGATTCACGCGGGCATTTAAAAGCTAGTGGACTATTTAGCTAGTGCCTCATGCAAACTTTAACGGTGTTTTGCAGTAAAAATAGGCGGTTTGAAAGTGTGAAAAGAACTATGATTATAATATTATTATGACCCGATTAAGTAGATACTTATCAGGAGAAAAAAATATTTTTTCGGATTTTGAAAAACAATAAAACATCAAAATTCAACATTATGTCGCCAATGCCAAGTTGTTTGTCGGGAGGACACACAAAAAGTCGGGAGTATCGCGCCAAATCCCGACCCTCTATCATACTATGGTTGTTTTTGATGCACTCACCTTCCTTGAATTGCTTCAACATGACATCCAGCGTAACATCCTCAAATACGAAGTTGCACGGGTTCTGGTAGTACTGGCAGAGAGTGCGCAGCGGCGTGTTGTCGTCGGGGTCCACGAACGCCAGGTCCTTGATGAACAGGACTGTGACGATGTTGCCGCGGCTTCCATCGTACACCGGTATGCGGGAGTAACCTGCGGACGACGGAATGGGTGAAGCGAGTGTTTTAACGCGATCACGATACGCTCTTGGCTCTTGCCTATGAACGACACCTAATATTATCATGTCATATTGGGTGACATTGACCTTGATTCTAGCGGGTCGCGTGATTGGTGTAAGTAGATAATATTATTTTGCTTTACGTGGCATCATTATTAGCATTGTACTTTACACAGTGTATAAGTGTTTCGAGAATAATAATTATGTTTACTAAGTTATGAATTCATCTACATGAATATTCACGGAGGAAAAGTTAAAAACGTAGCATTTGTAGTGAGTTCCATAAATTTTAGGAAATAGGTACTATAGGCCACAGTTCCAGCACTTCCAGCCGTTATTTCCGGTCATGTCGTCTCGTTCTATCGCAAAGAATCATCATTTGTTGCGAGCGAGAGAAAAAACAGAAATAGGTAGCTGGAACTGTGGCCCACTGTACAATGTAACATAAATAACGTATTAAAATGACATAAGCTTTCGATAAGTCACGTGGTCAGTATCAGCGCCATCTAGTGGTGCCTACTTAAAACTACGTGCCTACGTCAAAGTCTACACTCCTTGGGGATCGGGAGTGTAGACAAAATCTTCTACTAACCTGGTAATTTCTTCCAGATTCACTCCATGATTTGTGTAGGGCAAGTCCTTCAATCCTTCATGCTAAATAATTATAAATGACCTGATGATAATGATTTTAATCTTTTATTACTTACCCGACTTGACGATCTCGCTCATAGTCTCAAAATCGAGGACGCTGTTCATGGGCAGCATGAAGCAGTCCTTCAGTTTGGTCATGACATCCTTCACGGTCTTCTTACGAAGGTCCAAGGCTCCGGAGATGATGTTCACTTCCTCTTTGTCCAGGTCATTCACGTGGTTCGTCACCTGCGGAAGGAGTGAACGAATGAGTGAACGGTTAATTTGAACTTCGAACTTAGAATAAAACAGGGAAGATACGGCATGTGCTATGGAAAAAAATCTCTGACAAAATGGCGAATGTCAGTGTCAGTCAAAGTCAAAGCTTTTATTTAGTTCTTAGGATCTTGCCAGGGCGCTTATAGACGTTCCAAATAGCTTGGCCTACCACCACTTCAGGAGAACATTATGGGCTGGTGCTGAGGTGTGGCGGAAGAAACTCAGTCACCTTTATCAGTGAGTGGAAATTGAGTTTTATTGTATTACATAAATGAAAAGTGATGCCGTGAACTTTGTTTTTAGCTCATGAATTTATTGTTACTCTTGTTAAAAATACAAGAAGGCTCTGCGCGTTTAATGTGTAGGTTACCGATGACATCTGTCAAAAATGATGTCTTAGGTAGTAGGACTTCATTTGAGCGTGATACTTTCTAGATGTCTAACACTGTGGGTCTAGACAAAGTGCAAATTATAATTGCAAACCAGTCGAAAAGTGGTCGAAACGCCCCTTTTTTGTATGGAGTTTTGACGGATTCGATTTTCGATTCGATCAAAAAGTGCGTTTTGACTAGGGGGGCTGAACCGTCCCAGGTATGACATTGTCATGAGGGCAATACTATCAACTGGGTTGTTAGTTCCGATTTTTGCCACTTGACTTTTCAGAATCGTGGGACATTCAATTGAGTATGTCAGACCGATGACATCTGTCAAAAATGATCATGAATGATGCCCTAGGACTTCATTTGAGACAATTTTCAAGCCGTATCTTCGCTTTTTGTTTTAATCTAAGACCTCGAACGAATGAGTGAAAAGATACTTGACGATACTTGTCATTACATGCGGCGTTGTTGTTTACCTGAAACTGAATGATGAACGGTTGGGTTATTGACAATTGAGTGAATGGATGCAGTCGGTCAGTTCGGTCTTTTGGCGGGAACAGACTCGTGCCATGATATTTGTAAAGGTCATAGCAGACTTATCAACAAGGAATCAACACCGTATCGCCTTTCGTGCGCTGTCAATCGCGAGGCGAGAAGTTTACGTTGTTACGGTGCGGATAAATGTGCAGTTTCATACAAAGAATACTGACCACCTTGATACGTGTCGATACGGTTACATATATCCCTTTCCGGGTTGTTTAAGTGTGCTATGTCCTTAATACTGACAGTGTAGTAATTGGAATGAAGGAATGACAGTTATAGCGCGAAAAGGTTATTTGTATGCGGGGAGATTTTGAATATCACTAACGAAGGAACAAAGGAAGGAATGTCGATGTCGACATTGGCAACACCAGTGTGCTGTAAATTCGCACCATTGAAGCCATTAGACAGAATAATAATAAGGAAGGAATGACAGCAACATCGGAGGAAGGAATGAATAGTTTTAGTGCATTTCCCCAAATATCTTGACACGTATTGGTGGCAATTGTTAAAGCTTTATGATTTTATGATTAAATTCGATATTCCTATGTTTTGTTAATGGGTTAGTTTAAATATATTATTAGTTTCAAATTCAAATTTTTTATTAGTAGGTATGCAGGCCCTTTTCATGACTTTTACACGTCCCAAATATTATTATAGCTTGCCCTACCACCACTTCGAGGTCGGGACAACATATGGGCTGGTGCTGAGAAGAAGTGGCGGAAGAAACTCAGGGAGAGTTTCTTTGATACACATTTTAAAGTGAAATAATCATCACAGTTTTAAATGTCACCTTGTGCCAAATTCAAATCGTCATCTTTTTATGAGTCATTGTATCTTTTTACGAGTTTTATTTAAGTAAAAATAATCTTGTTATTTTCATATTTGGCACAGTTACTAAAGATACGCTAAAAACTGCCAATGGGCTAGTTGAAACCACCCTAGTCAATGGACGTCCTTTTTTATGAGCTGTCAAAATGCAGTCTTCCATAGATGTTACGGCAAAGACAGGATGTGACGTCACTTTTTCGCCAACTCAATTGACTTACTAATATTATTTTTAAAGGTCCTAAAACCTTTTATTAGGGTCGATTGACGAATCGGGTTTTCTGAGATAAAACTATTCTTTTAGTAAAATTGTACCTTGATGTTATTGTTTTTTGGTGTTAATTTAGCCCAATTTGCCCACACAGCAATCACAGCATAGCCAAGAGATCTTCCTTTACTACCTACATGTTTTTTCTACGCTACCATCACCTTCTTAAATTCGTAGGTACCCATTCCCAATCACCTTAAAGTATAAAATTGAAACATACCTTGACCAACTCCTTCAGTCTCTCTCTGTTGTAGTGGGTACCAATCTCCTCTCCTAGGAAGTAGTCCAGGAGCTTGCTTGTAGGCCAAGCGAGGGGTGCGCAAATGCCCATCACGATCTATACAACAAAATAAAACTATTAGTTCATTCGTTTCAGCCAACTGACGTTCACTGCTGGACAAAGGCCTCCCCCAAGGATTTCCACAATGACCGATCCTGGGCTTCCCGCATCCAGGCACTTCCCGCAACCTTTATCGGATCTTCGTAAACCTAGTGGGAGGCCTGCCCACACTACGTCTCCCCGTAAAACTTTAGTATTAATACTTTTTCATTTTTAGTTTCCAGCTTTGTTAAATAAGGGATCAGCTCTCAGCAGTCCGAATTATTCTTTTTAGCAGCAACTGGGAAGCTCTTGGCTTGTATCTCCATTGATGGTAAGTGGTGATCAGGCCGAAGGTGGAAGCGAGATTCACCCGGAATCCTCGCCCACAGAGAAACTGGCTATCTTACCTCCAACTGCCGGTACACAGCAACGCTGTTAACATTGATGCTATGGCGACAGACTTAGACCTAAGTCAGACGACAGTTACAGACATTTTACCTGTAAAATGGTGGTCTGTCGCCATAACAACAATGTGAACTGTATTGTTATATTTCGGCAGTTAGAGGTAAGATAGCCAGTTCCTCTGTGGTTGAAGATTCCGGGTGAAGCTCGCTTTCAGCTTCGGCCTGATCATCACTTACCATCAGGTGAGATGCAGGCCAAGAGCTTTCTCGTTGTAGATAAAAAAAAGTATATTTCAAGATGTGTCAAGTACCAACCTTCATAATCCAAATACTCTTCGCTCCGACCAATAGACCATGTCTAGCGCAGATGGCCTGAGGCGTGATTTCGGCAATAAACACGATAGCCAAAGTGGATCCTATAACAGCCACAAGACCTGACGTCAAATCGTCCAGGATAACCGTAAATGTACTGTTCACAGCCACGTTACTCAACAAAATTGTACATAGAAGATAGTTTCCATGTGCACGCACTGGCATGATCGCTCTGGCGTACTTTCTTTCCTTCTCCGATCCTGTGTTGGCTATGATCTTCAATTCTGTGCGATCTAAGGCCATCAGACCAAGGTTCAGACCAGAGAAGAGAGAGGCAAGCATCAGGAGAATCACGATCAGCACCAGAGAAGCCCAAAGCGGCAACAGTTTGTTGTGCGTCGCCAAAATCTTCCAGTCTTCGTTGCCTTGATGGACAAACTCGTCGTTTGGAGAATTTCGCGCGCAAATGTAGAATTTGTAGCCCTCTAAAGGCGGTGGGGCTGTCATGTCCAGGATTGCAGAATCTTCTTCTGCTGAAGTTACCTGGAAATAATGCAATTATTAGCGCTTTACTCAGTCAGTGCTTGAGGTATGGAAGCGGCACGGGAGGGTGTTTTTGTGACGTTAACGAAACTTCAGATCTCGTTCAGATTTGTATAGATGACCCACGCTGAACTGTCCCACCAAACTCAATGACAGGGGGGAGCTACCATCGTTCAACTATATGGTTTCCAACATGGCAAAAATCGGAACCAGCGATCCGGTATTGACGGTAGCGCCCCGCTGTCAATGTCATGGATAGGACAGTTCAGTATTTTGGAACTATATGCTCTGTAACGTCATTATGTAAATGTCACCCCTCCCGTCACGGACCATTGGCACGGACTGAGAAGCGGTAGACCTATAATACGCAATGTAGAATCGTTTTGTGATAAATTAGTAGGTGTGAGATTTCAAAGTTATCTTTTATGAGCATATAGAACAATAATACACATAAAAACTTTTATGGACATTATCAAAGTCATTCAGCTTATGGATTTAGCTAGATAAGGATAACAACATTTGTAATACATTAGGTGAAGTGGTGATCAAAATACAAAAATAGTTTAAAATATCTCTACAATTTCGAAGAAGAAAATGTATTGCAATGGGATATCAGAGGGCCTAGTGTGAGTTTTCATCAAATGCACTCACTAGTGAGCGCGTCAAAAAATGACAATAAATGAATGACGGACTGTACAGTACAGCGCTCCTAGCGCGAAACGTTCAAAAACTAAAATTTTCATATTTTTTTTTAACGTGCTCACTAGTGAGCTCGTTTAATGTAAACTCACACTCAGCCCACAGACGTGAGAAGTAAGGTCATAGCAGACTTATCAACTCGGAAAGGGATCAACACCGTATCGCCTATCGCTAGCTGTCATCGCATTTCGCGCGCTGTCAATTGCGAGGCGTTTACGTTACGGTACGGAAAATTGAAAAACATACAGTCTTTTGATTCACTCACCTTATAAACACCGTTCAATAGAAAATGGCAGTTGGTCCCATAAGCTTCTGGGTAATGCGTAAATGCAATCTCAGTATTATTCGTGAACCCTTCACCAAACAATCTCAACAAGAACTTCGTCTCTCTCAACACACTGGGTATCATTCCGTCTACCACCTTTGGTTCTTTTGCTGCTTCATCTACTCTGAGTCCCATCAATCTGACGGGTCCACTAGGTGTCACATTAACCCTTTTAGGGCCTAGACTAGTCTCATTCGCCACAGAGTTTGTAACGGGTATAGCAGCTTCAGTTACCACTGTACTGTCAGTCTCGTTTTCTACTTGACGTTTCGTTCTGGAGATCTCCACTTCTGACATGTCTTCAATTTCGGCGTTCTTGTTGACTGCCACATCGTTTTGCAGACTGAATTTGTCGTCGGTTTCGACGGTTTCAATACTGTTGTCTACGATGTTTATCTCGCCACTCTGTAACGCTTCTTCGATCTCATTTTCGAACCTGAAACAATTGAAAAAGAGTGTAAATCTACAATATACTTCTATACTAATATTATAAATGAGAAAGTAACTCTGTCTGTCTGTCTGTCACGCTTTCACGCCTAAAAACCACTGAAGCGATTTTGATGAAATTTGGCATAGAGATAACTAGTTTGAGTCCCGGGAAAGGACATAGGATAGTTTTTATCCCGGTTTTTGAAACAGGATCGCGCGCGATAAGGTTTTTCTGTGACAGACAAAATTCCACGCGGGCGGAAAGCTAGAATTTTATACTTGCTGAAAAAATTGTCAACTTAGGTGACATGATCTGAAAAAGTAATTCATTATATCGTAAAATAAGTGGGATGAAATGAGTCCCAATCAATCATTAGAAATAACAAACTCCATAAGAATTATGTAAGATGAATATTTTGCCGAACCCTTCTCACAGCTAGGGCAAAAACTATTAGGGTAGAAAAGTTCTCGAGTGTTGACCACGGGCCAGAAGACGCAGAGTGGACAGGCCTCCCACTAGGTGGACCGACGAACTGATGAAGGTCGTGGGAAGTACCTGGATGCGGGCAGCGCGGTCGTTGTGGAAATCCTTGAGGGAGAGGCCTTTGTCCAGCAATTGACGTCATTTGGTTGAAACGAATGAACGAAAGTAAATTTTATCAGTACCTATCGAATAAAATACTTTTTAAATCCGGTGCAGACCGGGTCCGGTAATCGAAAAATAAAAATAAAATCTACAATTTCCGGATGTACTGACGTCACACTTATGAATTTAATAACTAACATTAAAACCTCTGTCGTTTATGTGCCACGAAACAAATGAATAACGGCGCCCGCGCATAATTTGAATTTCAAACTGAAGGTCCTTGACCACAGATAACTATATATTAGTCGGAGAGTCCTTGACCTCTTGGCACATTGCAATGAGTCGGTTGTCACATGACTAGTAATTAATGATTTAAATCAAATAAGTAACTAATATTTTTGTACTAATATTATAAAGAAAAAAGATTTGTATTGTTGTGTATGTTTGTATTGAATAAGCTACTAAACTACTGAACTGATTTGAAAAAATATTTTTTGTGTTAGATAGGTATCCCCTTAGATTTAATCTAAGGGTATCCCATTTATCGAGGAAGGCTGTATGTAGGTACTTATATAACATCATTCTGCAGCCATTAGGGGCGGAGCAGTAAAGAAAGATGTTGCAAAAACGAAAAAAAAATATTTTTGAAACTATTTTCACGCGTACGAAGTCGCGGGCATAGCTAGTAATAAAAATAAATCAAGTTTAACTAAACTTTTACATAATGTAGACGCAGCTTTAGAAACGCTGACGTGCGAATTTGGCGCGGCTCGCAAAATTTCCGCAAATGACGTCACGCACAATCAGAAACTGTATTTAGAGTGATGACGTCATTTGATTCCGCTGTCTTCAATTTGGACGTTTTATTCACGCGTTCGTGGCGTGTAGTTATTTATTTTACCTACGTCATACGGCGTTTTCGTACGGATTCAAGTTCGATTCCCAGTAAGGTCAGTTTTTTATGTGGAAATGGCATTTTTAACTTTATTGAGGAAAATTAATTAAAAAAGTTAATACCTAAAGCTTGTAAAGGATTCCCAAAAACTATAAAAACTTAGTGAATAATTTTATGATTTTTAGGGTGGGGCGATGTCGATAAGTGTTATATCGATAAAGGTAAAAAACCCATTATTACTACTATTATTTTTATTGATAGTAGGTAGTGAGTAATCTGAAGCTTATAAATCCACAGTCACGCAGTGATAAAACTATTAATCTAAAAAAAATATTAATAAAAACTAGAAAAAAAAATCGTGCGAAAAACTACAATACTTATTATTATTAAAAACTGTTGACCGAAGTCCAATAAATCCTTTTATATTTTGTAGATCTTACGCTGCTTTTTCTTATTGATTCTACATGAGCTTGAGAGTGGTTCGGGTTATTAATTATTAGGCAACTAGCGGCCGCCCGCGACTTCGTACGCGTGGATTCCGTTTTACCTCCTTAGGGGTGGAGTTTCGTAAAATCCTTTCTTAGCGGATGCCTACGTCATAATATCTACCTTCATGCCAAATTTCAGCCCGATCCGTCCAGTGGTTTGGGCTGTGCGTTGATAGATCACTATGTCAGTCAGTCAGTCAGCAGTCAGTCACCTTTATTTTAGATTATTACCAAAAACGTGTAAAAGATCCTTTAGAACTTTTATTTGTCAATAAAAAATAACTTTTATGACACAAATATTATACTCGTAATGTCACGTAATTATCAAGTCGTAGATAAGTAAGTGTAAACTCTTTTTCTAAGGTCACAACTGGCGTTAGTAATAAAGGTGTTAAGTAATATTTTAAACCATTCAAAGATTTTATGGTCGTGTCTGAACGACGATACGCCATATTTTATTGTAAACTAGACTGTTATTCCTTTATTTTATGGACTTCTAAGATGGTATAAGACAAGCTGATCAGAATAAAAATTATGTTAGGGATCTTTCTCAAGAAGACATAGCGATTTTTGCCGGAACTGTTTTTTGGAGGAACCGAACCGTATTCTGTTCCCTGAACGGGATCCTGCATAGCTGTATCACGCGAATCTGGTCTGCCATGGGAACGGACCCTTACGTTACAATGCGAGAGTACACTAATTAGTTAAAAACTTCAAATCACGTGAACAAAAATACTCGTAAATAATGAAAACAGACATATTTATCGGTCTCATCAAACGACTTGAGTACCTATACTTTGACATCTGGTATCTCGACGTTCCCTCGCATTCAATTAAGTAACATAGTTTTTGATTTACAGTTAATTTTTATGCAAAATAAATAGAGTCTTTCTTTACTCGATGTTTCGTCGTCGTTCATACTACATATTTGCCTATTTACGGGCTTTCAAAGTCTGTGAGCTTCGTCAACAGAAGGCCTAGCTATTGTCAATAAAGATTGCGTGTTGCGGACATTGGGTGCGTCCAAATATGTACACAAATCGCACATGGTGTTCTGTTTACCTGATTCTGATGTTTGCTATGTCACTCAGAAGCACATAACATATTTATGACTCACATACCGTGTGGTTCAGGCAATGAGAATAGAACCACCCTCAATTTCCGTTGAGTGGATAAAGGTGTTATCTGACAAAACTGAAAAATCGACTTTTTTGCATGAACATAGGTTTAAAGTGATGATAAAATCGACTAAGCTGGCTGAAATGATGAACCTAGATCTGAGTGTGAGTTTACATCAAACGCGCTGACTAGTGAGCGCGTTTAAAAAATGTATTAAAATGTTAGTTTTTGAACGTTTCCCGCTAGGAACGCTGTACAATCCGTCATACATTTAATATCTTGATAAAAACTCACACTAGGCCCTCGGCCAGCGTGGGGAATGTAGACCAAATCCTCCATTTGCCTCTGGTATAATTAGAAAGGACGTGCTCCTGCAGTGATGACTTTTAACTGATGATAATTTACACGTTCTGAAGTTCCACAACTATTCATAATCAAGTGTTATCGTTCACTTCTGGCACTGCTACGTCACAACCGGGGAATGCTGCTTCCTGCCGACTATGAACCGGAAACAATAGCGCCATAGTAGCAAACTAANTGTTATCGTCCACTTCTGGCACTGCTACGTCACAACCGGGGAATGCTGCTTCCTGCCGACTATGAACCGGAAACAATAGCGCCATAGTAGCAAACTAATTTTTTCGTACCAATAAATATAATTATCACAATAATAATAATATAACTTTGATTAAAATTTGATTAGTGATTGGTTTTTAGTTATTACACTAATTTTATATTTTAAATAATTTATTTGAAAGATAGATGTAATTGTGTTGACTCTCGTAGTTCTTCCGATTTTCGCCTATAATTTTTATTAATAAAATATAATTAGTACAATAATATTAATATAATAGAATTGATTTAAACTTAATTGTTAGTTATTTGTTAATTGTTGCGTTAATTGTATATTGAACATTATTAATTTCAAAGTTAGAAGAAATTGTATTGACTCTCAAGTTCTCCTGATTTTTGCCTATAAAAGTCACTGTTCTGCTCATTTTGTGCGTTATTCTTGTACTGTAACGATTGTAGGGCGAAGCTCTGCCGAATAAATGGTCATCAATCTACAAAGTTATTTATTTGGCTACCCTGACCTACTATCTGGAACACATAATATTTTGAAGGCGAACGATTTGTATGTTTATAAAGAATGAACTCTACAGCTGCTGGACTGATTTCAAACATTCTTTCCTCATTAGATTGCTACATTATCCTTGAGTAACTTAAGAGTAAGACATATCAGACCGAAATTAACACTATAATAATGCGCTTAAATTAAATTAAGACGATATTTTGTGGCATCTAATATAATAAGGAACAACGAAGGTAGGCTTTGTTAATTCATTTCAGACTTAGGAACGAAGTAACTATTAAGTTCTGTGCTTCGGGCATCTGGCCCTTAGGCCATTCGCCCGGCCAGTCGCGAAAATTATTAACAAAGTTATTTCAGCTTTGTTTACTAACTAAAGTTATTATTATTTCAGCTTTCATTTCAAAGCTTGACTACGGCACTTTGAATACTATTCTATTCTATTCTAGAATACTCATTACTATTTTTGCAAACTTACCGTTTGGCCGAAAATCTCAAAAACCCGTATTTTTTTATTATGACCTCGATTTTTTTAGATGTCGGATCGATGGGGATTTTTAACATTTCATTCATAATGGTGCTACTCTTTCTATTCTACTGACAACGATGATCAAAATTACGGAATCTAATACAGATAATAAGCTCGTATTCTCGTAATTAACGAGATTAATAACAACTAAGTTATACTTCTACTTATTTTTTATGATTTTGTGTAACACTTGGAAAATATTAGATTTTCAGGGCTAAAGAAAATTGTTTTAAATAAGCTATTTCTTGGAATGAATGAATAATTGTGTCACCTTTTACTCAATTTGAGTTTTTTTAGGAT